TTTTAAAGTATGTATAGATTGAGCTCAGATCACTGATCGTGACTTAATTTTGAGAATTGGTTGTCAAATTTTACCAGACCGACGCCACCACCACCATCCAATCATATGTTGGAAATGTACGCACTTGTTTTGGAACTTTGTATCAAGATGGCGGCGTATGTGTGTATTGCATGTTTTAGTAGTCCGGGCATGGGATCGGACTCGGCTAAAACTAAACGAAACACAGAAAAATACCACCGAAATGAGGAATCTGAATCTGCTCTTCTAGCAGCAAATAAAATGAGCGAAAAAAGGGTAATTTTATAACAAGAACAGTTTCACTTCGTATACAGCAAATTGTGTTGTATCAGAACGACGATAGCATCGTGTGATTTGAATTTATTACCATTTTCCTTGCAGTCAATATGAAACTCATCACCTTGCCGATTGTAATGTTTTTGGTGCCCAATACTCGCAACACTAAAATAATTAAACAAGATATCTTTTTAAAATGTCATTTTACTCTTGATCATATTATTTTATTCGCCTTGAATTTCAAATCGATTACATATCGAACTTCTGTACATGTTTTTGTCTACTGCCCTTCTGCGTGCAAATAATGAGGTCATACTCATGTCACAATAAGTTGAAGCTGATGCCATGTTGATGCCATGAGACTGCGAAGCTGAGGCCACGATGATGCCACAAAATAAGCGAGGCGAACACAGCTTCAATTTTCAATGACGCGAAGCTGATGCCACAATGATGCGATGCTGAGGCAACAATGAAGCCATGCATAGGCGACAATGATGCCACAAAAGCCAAAGCTTCCGCGAGAACTGTACTGTATGCAAGGTCACACACACAAAAAAAAATCTCACCTGGCTGTCATATCAGTCGGTCCAACTTGGACGGTACAAATTCCATCGTCACATTGTTTGCCGACAAGACTGTGTGCATGTGGTGTTGGGATAGAATCATTGGTTACCAGACTCACTACAATTCGAGCCATTCCTTGATAATTTAAAATCTATTCAAACAAATATAAGCATCCAATTATTTTTATATTTTTGTCGAAAATGGATTTTTGTTACTACTTTGTATACATAGATGAAGGTAAGACTGCATAATGAGGTTAGGACTCAACTGTAAATAGACCGTTAGATGTATATACCCGCCTAGATTCTATTGAAAGCAAGACAGCCATGTGACTGTTATTTCAAATACAATGTTGTTTTCCATTATCTTCCATTATTGTGTCTACTGTTCCAATTACAATGGTAACACAGATCAACAGTGGAGAATTAAACACTATTTGAAGTACAAAAACAAGTAACATGGTACTTTCGCTTTCAACAAGATCTCAGCGACCAAGTGCGTTTATAAATTTTCTGAAAACCAATTTTTTTCTTGATAATTTTTTCATAAATTCTAATTTTGATCAAGTTTTTAGCAAATGAGGAATTATACCTATTTGGATTGAAAAATTAAAAAAGAGTCTTAGAAAAAGACATTAAAATGTGCAAAATATTGCACCTAAATTTTGAAATGCAACAGTATGGCACTTAAAAGTGTGAAACAATAATGGCATTCTGAAATGTATGCATATTGAGTAAAATATGAATAATACTAACTTTGACTGCAGGGTAAGTTTTTCGTCCTCTTTCACTATCAGCTCCTGGAAGTCCACCATGAGAACCACCCTCACAACCATATCGGAAACGAAATCCCCTCTGAAAAAAAAAAAATTACCAAATTAATTAATTACCACAGGAAATATTCATATGCGGCTGTCAGAATGTGAAGTAAATTGTCATTCAAAGATGGTGTACGAATGCCAGATGTGACAACAGACAGACAGACAGACAGACAGACAAACAGACTGACTGACTGACTGACTGATAGACAAACAGACAGATAGATTTAAGGACAAACAGACAGTTTTTTTTAATTTTCTTCTTTTTCCATATGTTCTACCCTTTTCTCAGATAGTTTCCCAGATTTGGGTTTAATTAGGTGGAGAATTGTTACAAATATCTATGATGGTATGAACAAAAGTAGGATAATTTTTAAAATCAGTATGAAAACAATTTTGCAAGTGAAAACCAATGTGAATCCTGAGATTGTTGCCAAGCAACACATTGTCATCGTGATCCATTCCTTTTGTGAGACAACACAGTTTATTGGTCGGCGTGGTTTCGTACTCACAAAATTAATTATAAATATGCTATTCTCCTGATTTTCCAAAATATTTCTGAGTTTCAATTCATCATCAAGTTACCAATTCCCATTGAATGTGACTCAATTAATAAAATCAAAACCGGATCTGTCTTTTTGAAAAATGGATGTTACTAGTCTGTAGCAATAGTTATACCAGTAGTGTATTTTTTGTAAGTTGTTTGTCAGTATTTTGTAATTTACAGCTAATTTCAATGAAAATTGGTCAAGTTTGTAAATATTTTATATAAATATAATGAAATTTTGTACCTATCTAAAATAGCAGGCAGCTGGCTAAAAGCTGATCGGTGCAAAGAAAACTTCTCAAGTCCATGAACATGGTTTTTTGAATTTTAGATTAGATTTGGCCAAACTGTGTCTCATAAAGAATAATAATACTGTAATAGAGGACTCTGAACTCAGCCATGTGTAAACTAAACCAAAACAAAACATATCTGCTTTATTTAGTAGCACAAGTGATTTATATACACACATGTGAACGTATATGGTCAAAATAAGTTCATATTTTAATACAGCATACAGTATTAATGTGTGACTATTAGATTATTTCTACATGTAAAAAAGTAAATACAATTTAAATTTATAAAATTTTAATGCAGAGATTTATGTAGTGCAACTTCTTAATTTATTTACTGCACACTTTTATTTAACAGGTAAATTATTTTTGATTTTAGCTTCTTGAATAAAATTGTCAATTCTTGCTATGACTGTCCTAATATTCTTTAATATTTGCTCTTATGCTCCAACAAGGTGTCTGAGAGGAATGGACATTTTTAAACCAGGTTATGGGTTAGTTTACCGGTAAGGCCAGACTGTTATTATCCCCTATTTTGCAAACCCGCCGAATGAACAGGAGCCGAAAATGAAATAAAAAAATAATTTTATTTCACCGTAATTTCTCGCGCTCGCCGACTTGTAAGGGCGAAAAAATGCTAAAAAATATTATTTTTATCTTCATTTTTTTACCGCTAACCGCATAACAAATCCAAGTTGCATTTTCATGGCAGTATCATGATCAAAGTACCGAAGTCTCGCGCAGATGAGAAACAAGGTTATACGTGGAATAAAATTTTATTTCATTTCTTCTCTCAGATCAATGATCTCACTTACAATTCCTTGAGAATCACACAAATCTGATGGAAAAAAAGAATTAATTTTATTTTTTTCCCGCCCTCCTCAAAAAAATTGCCTTATAAAAACTCGCGAAACAAGGAATAAAAAAAGTCTGGGCATACTGTAGAATTTTATATCCCAGACAAATGATTAGAACCTGTATAAAAAAAATCGTTGTTAATATACTGTAAAATACTTTATATTCACTTGAAATTAATTTTCATGTTTTTTACTGTAGGAATGATTCAGTAAAAATACAATCCAGTGAACATATACCTTTTTCTCGTATTTTGCATTTAACTTGTCAAAAATCAGTGAAAATAAATTCCATACAAAACACCCAGAAAGACTTTTCAGCGAAAATTAATTCCAGCTAAAATAAAGTATTTTACTGTATTGATATCACATTACCTAATCTGATTTTGATATATGAGAACAATGAAGTTTTGCATTTATAATGTGATAATAAAGAAGATTTTGTAACCATGTATTGACATTTCTAGTATTAGAAACAGGAACATAATCCATTGCTATTAATTGTGGAACCTATTTCCTCAATCCGAAAATAGAAGACAGGTATTGTAAGACACCACAATAAGGAAGAAATATTTATTTTTACAACATTGAATTATTCATATGAATTGTTAAATTATCACCAGAGAAATAATAACTTTAGGATGATTTCATCATCAGTCACCCCTCAACTCATTGAGCGCCATCGTTTTTCCTCAAATTTTCCTTGGGGCATCCAAATGCGGAAACTGGTTGTCTCTTGGAAAGAATGATTTATTTTCCATAGTCTAGTATAGTAACATCATAGCAACGAAAAATAAAATAAAGGAAAATTTGAATAAAAATACACTTGTTGAAATCCAAAAGAAAAACACCCAGGTCAACAAAGATAGAGACAAGAATTTATCTGTAATTATACTTTATGTAAGTTATGTAATTGTTATGTAAGTTAAGCATCCAAGAAATGTATCTTTAAAAGGAAACTCCAATAAAAAGTGATAAATACAAAACATCATTGCAACATTACCGGCAGTTTGAGCCAGATCCTGGTGGCACTATGACTGACATTTTCAGGTTTATTTTGTGAAATTTTCAGGTATATTTTGTGAAAGAAGACACAAATTTGGTTGAACCAAAAGCAATATACCGGTAAACACAAAAGGCAAATCATGCAACTGAATTTTCAGTCCTCAGAGTGACATTGGACAACCAGGATGTCTTTCAATGGCATCACAGACAATTTTCTTTAATTAATACATGGGAGGGAAGTCAAAGCAGAAAATAGCTATTTCAAAGCGCCAACGGCATATAACCCAATTTTGTCATTTTTTTATTACTATGGCAATAATATATCTGATAATATATCTGAAATTTGACATGTATGTTCAGTAGAATGCTATTCAGACAGATAAGGGACGACGTCAAAAGATCGATGTCCGATAAAAAAATTAATTCCTTTAGTTTTATTCCAAACCCCCCTACCCCCCACTGAAATTTAATTGATAAATAGTGGTCATGGCGTCAGACTACATTCACCATTAAATACAAATTGATAATCGGACAGTAGTATTGCATAGCAGTTGGTTGTCAGGTGGGTGTAAAAAGATTTTATGCAAATGCACCTCATTTGACGCACAGATTTACACTCGAACCAAACCATTTTTCTGTTTTTTCCCTTCTCGGTTATTTCTGTCCATGATTGGATAGAATAAAAATGAACTACAAATACTCCAAGATTTTTTTGACTTCATTAAAAATAAAATCGTTTTTGAAGGATGAAAACTTTTTGAGGTCAAACCACCACCACCACCCCCCCACCCCCAAACTAAAGGAAATAAGTTTTTTATTCGACATCGATCTTTTGACGTCGTCCCTAAGAAATCATTGCTTTACATATGCTTAGTCTTTTCACTACAACACTTTCTCACTCAAATTTTTCTGCATTTTTTTCTTATACACATGTATTCTTCAATATTTTTGGAAATGAACCCTAATTTTGGAGTCAACAGACAAAATTTGAGACAATTTTCAGTTTTTACTCAAAAAAATTGACTATTTTTGTCCCAATCTTTTGAAGGAAAGTGCAGACTATAAACAGGACTATTTTGTGATGATAAGAGGGAACTGGTGGTTAAAGAAACAGTGTTTTAGTATAAGTGTACATAGCAACCTAATATTGAGGACTGCCTAAATTCAAGGGCATAATTTTTTTGCTAAAAAGATCCACATTTTCATGAATTTTTCTAAAAAATTTGTCGTTACTTTTAAGCTAACAGAACATAATTTCCCGTGGCCAATCAAAATGGCCGTGACCATTTATACGTGAGCCAGACCTTCACCTTTACTCAAAATGTGACTTAATTACGATGTGATATTTACATGTATGCATAGTGTTAAACAATTTGTCCATTAGTTAACCCCACAAGAACGTTGTGAACAAAATACACCAACAAATAAACTTACCGCCTTTGGTTCTGTCAAGATAACTAGCCGAGGTGCATCATCAGGCTGTGATGGCTCTGCCTTATTCGAATCAGAGGTACCTTGCGTCATGTTCTCCAACATGGTAATATCAGTTGACACGCTCACCACGTCACCATTGGCAATCCAATTATTCATCAACTCATTCGGAATCTCAAAGTTATCTGTATTCTCGTTCATGGTGTTTTTATAATATAGCAGTTGGTTTATTTACAATATCATCCAGATAATTAAATGTATGTAAATAAACTGGTTTCTGAAATCAAATCAGTTTCCAAGAATTGAATATTATATCAACCATATTCCCTAACCCCTCGTAAATTCCTAACACGTTGGGGTAAAATAAAGCACTGATTCGGACTCAAAATAGACAAATGTTTTCCTCGCTATGCACTAATCTTTGTTTTAAATTCACAGGAAAGTAACGATGCAAAAACGTTTTTCGATATCATGAATTACGTCACATCTACTAATAAGTCATATTTACGTATCTGTTATTAGCTGATATTATAAACAAACAACACAATCACTACCGTCATTTTGAATTACTCAGTGGTTCTTGTTAATTAAATGAGAGAATGTGATTGGCTGTTGTGAAACTCTTTTGTAATAATAAATAATAATAAACTTCATAGATATTTTTTCTTTTATGGGATCTTGATTTAAATAAAGTGAGGATGAGAAAAAAATAAATAAAATAATAACATAATAATGATGTTAACAGAAAAAAACCTTGCAGATATGCCTCAATATTAATATTGTGGTTTATTTGAATGTCAATGTTGGATTTGTAACACCCTCTGCATTACCATTACAAAATTACATTTATCCTCACAAGTAACATAAAATTCAGTGTTGTTGTGATTAGATGAATGGTTTAAAACGGTCATTTTGTTTTTCTGAATGTTTTTTAACAATTTAATTGTTAACTACATCCATGGGTAACCTGAAATGAGCATATACATGTGAAACCTAATAAAAATAAGTTCAATACATATACATGTACCCAAGCGTGTTTTACCGATCAAAACAAACTACCTAAACCAACTCAAAGTTCACTTACCAGCTGTTATCACATGCATATACTTTAAAGGTATTGACGGAATTGACAGAATTGACAATGTTAGCAATGGTATCAGGCTGTATGACGATGATGTCATTTTCTATTTTTAGCAAATACTGTTTTCAAAAACAGTAAAATCCCACTATACATAAAGACAATGTAACTATGCGAAATAGATGTAGGTATTTATTTGTTTTAATTTTAATGGGTATTTCCATTAAACACAATCAAACAATGTCTAAAGTACATGTACATCTTAAAATGAATGAATTTTTTCTCATACTCATAATTTTTGAGATAGTTGGTCATAAATTGCATGACAATGTTTATAAGTTTATTGTGTAAAATTGTGAAGCTAATGTCTCATGGAACCATGAAATAGCATTCTTTTGTGTATTTCAGTGACGTATTTTGAGAAACTAATATTTTTCAAAAATTTATATTTTTTGAGAAACTAATATTTTTCAAAAATTGATATTTTGTGAACAATTCCCAATTTTGAAGAAAAATTTCATTTTTACCACTTTTTAAAACCCAGATTTTTGATATAATTGAGAACAACAAAAAGTACCCCTATCGTTAACAATATATAATTTGTTTAGCCTAGGTCACAGTTTAAGATATGACATATTATCGTTGCCATAGAAACTATAATACTGCCAAAATGGCCACTACCGGGTATCCACTAAAATACAACCATAATTTTCTTGAAAATTAAAGCTGGTGATCCCAAAATTGACTAAATTCTGGGTATTTGAAATCATGAGTAGACCTTAAGTACAAACTTTGTTTTTAAAGACCACCTCTAGCCAATAGTTGGTCATAGTTGTACAGTCTCAGTACAATGCAAAATCTTAGTGACCACAAAAGAAGACCACCAGTGTCATAATAAGATCAGTGACCGACATTTTGGCAAGGTACATGTAGGAATTAACCTTTTCATCACCAGAATTTCTCGCCGAAATTTATTTTGCACTTTTTTCTTATATTCTTCAATAATTCTGGAAATAAACTCTAATTTTGGCGCCAACAGACTAAATTGTGTCAATTTTAAGTTTCTACTCACACAATTTTGCAGACACCACCAGTTCCCTCTTTTCATCACAAATTCACAAAATGGTTCTGGCACAGTCCCTCTATCCCCGGTCTGGAAACAACTAGCGTTCTTTTGTCTCAAACCCTGTTGCCAGTAAACAAACCGTTCACACCCGGGCCGAGGGAGCCAGGAAGTCAGACAGATTAAAATACTGTCAGAATATATTCATTAAACTCGGCAAATTTACCGTCATGCAAAGCGATATCTCATTGTATGACTTCACTTTGACCTCAAATTCTAGCAACTACAACGTAAACAAAACATGTAAACATAATTAGCAGTATGAAATTTGGGGTTTTTGAACCAAAATATTAATATTCCAAGACATTGCTAACTGACTGTCTGAATAATTCTCAGAATGGCTGTAATACAATGACCGTTTCCAGACCGGGGATAGAGTGACTGTGCCAGAACCATTTTGTGAATTTGTGATGAAAAGAGGGAACTGGTGGTGAAAAGTCAACCTGATTGTAGACATAATGTATAAAGTATTTTTACTCTCTATACTGATGATTCAATTTGAAGAGCCACAATGTTTTGCCTCAACATGCAATGTATATAATACATAATTTGTTTACAATAAATTTGAGCACACGCTGCATGGCGACACGCTGTATGTGCACAAGACTTTTAAAAACTATATATACATACAACCATATTTGTTTTATTATTAGTGCCGGTGCTTAAGTAAATTTCCAAAGCATTTCAACACATTTCAAACTAAAATCTCTATCATAATTATAGCTCTGATCGCACGAAAACTTTCTGTTTTCCGTCTTTTGGGGTTTTTCTGCAAATGGAGACAAAAAAATGTACAATCGTATAACGAGTTTCGTCCTTGAGCATCTATTGGAACCAAAATCGATTTTTGTTTCAGCACATGTACCGGTAGCTCACTGAATGTTTTTGTTAGTATCCATGAAACGTGTGAAATCAATTACATACAAGCCAGGTCTTGTCTCCTATAACAAGCTTTTCAAACATAGAGTAGGTAGGTAGCAATTTTTTAAGATTTGTTCTTGGTGTTTCATGTTTTTATCTTGCATATAAGAACTGTCATGTTTAAAGTTTACATTTCCAAATTTTGAATTTCTGTAAAATCTCATTAAAAGTGTGGTAGAATTTTGTAAAGTTTTTTCAAATAAGTCGGCAGTAAAATAAGATAGGTCGGGTTATAGGGGTCATACAATTTTTTTTTCTTTTGGCCTAATTAATTAAGAAACCTGATTTGTTGCAAGGAAGATTAAACAGGTTGTACAAATAGAAATTCGTTTGACATCACATGCAAAAAACGCAAGTGAAAGTGAAACAGTTGTTTTTTTACAACAGCTTTCTATCCCTAAATTACTTAAAGAATTTTGTTGAAAATACACTAAGTTTGAATTTCAGTATTATTCCTATCATTACTAAATAATTTTGTAAATTTTGAAACATATAACAAGTTTTTTTTTTTTAAACTGAATCAAAGCCCACATAACAATCTTTTTTGTTGTTAACCTAAGGACATATGGAATGTATTACAACAAGTTTCAAAAGTCCTGGGTCCATATTGAGGGATATTGCCCTGGAACAGCAATAACTAAAACAAAATGGCCACCAGTCGACCATTTTGAATACAACTGTATATCTGTATTTGAATACAAATGTATTTGATGTACAATGAATATATAAAATTTTAACATAATCAGTCAAAGCAGGTCAAAGATATGGCACTAAAACCGCATTGATTAAAACAAAATGGCCGTCAGTCAGCTATTTTGAATTTGATCTGAAAAACAAAATGATGTGCATCAATGTCCAATGTATATGTATGTACCAAGATTGAACAAAATCCATCTGTAAACAGCAGAGATCCGGTTCCGGAATGCCAGAAATGATGATTTCAGTACACAAAATGGTAATATTAGTAGATCAACAAAAATGTGCAAAATACTGTCCAGTGTTAGGATGGGTATCATACGAGTTATAACAACATTGTGGACAGGTGCAGCGATAATAAAAACATGACTTTGAATGGATGTGACAACCATTGACGTTGCCACTTGAATGGTGACATTCAAGACAAACGAATATTTCATTGTTTTCATTTTTTTGTCTCGAAATAGTCAAACTCATTTTTATTTCTATTTATTCGCATAAATTTAGTCTAGAAGGGAGTAGATGTACTACCGGGGTATGTATTTTGTAAATACTTAAAAAAGTGGTTGTTACAACACGTTGTGTTTGATAAGATGATAAAGTGGCAATTCGTGTAAATACATTGAATTGTTTATTGACATGAAATGTGAATGTGCACTGTATAATCATTATTAACAAAACGTCAATCATTTTGTTGAATGATAAATGTAACATTATTTGGTTATCCAGAAATCCTCAAATTTGTGAAAATGTGTTTTCCCAAGAGTTCCGTAAAATGACAACAGCACGTTTACCATGATGGCACGCATTTTTGTACTGTTGATCACTGACTGCAGACTTCCTATCCCGCTTGTACTGCTGTGACAAGGATAGGGACAAAAGAAAATTGTTCTTTTGCATGCTGGCGTGCCTATGGATGTCCATAGTATTTCCAACGAACACGCCGTAGATTCCCAATTGGAAAAGCTTGAGAGATAAGCAATTATTATATATCATGAACATTATTTGATATCCATTATTTGCTTATTCAGTAAGACCGTTAGACATGTTATTTAATGATAATGACATTTTCTGAATCTAATTAGTGATTTTCCATTTACTGCGAAATCTTGCATATTGCGTAAAAGGCATGGAATGAACATCTGCCACAAAAATTGAATGATTTGATTTGAACTTGAACTTTTTTGGTTTTTGATAGCTGAATGTCAAAATGCCAATCTTTTGGAGATGAATATAGCATTGAGATACCCTTACTCTCAGACAACTAATAAACAGACTGGCAACACTATTGTTTATAGGTGTTAATCGGCCTAATCCCCGGTGAAGGTGTGTCTAAACTACGCTGGTGGCTCACACGTTGCCAAATTTTGTCGAATGGCGAGTACACACATCGAGAATCCTCAGTATTGCATGTATTTCAGTTCAGTTCAGATCAGATCGTCCGAAACGAGAGAGTTTTATGTTGAGTTGTCGAACAATATATTTTTAAGCCAAAATTGACTATATTTCAGGAAAGTAACAATTATTTGAATGTATAGACTATCTTTATAGTAATGCTCTTGAATGTATATTGAAGAAAAAGGAACAACTTTTACCATAACATGGCAATTTATTCCGATAGTTACTTGATTTTTCTAGGATAGTTTATGTCGATATGTTTACAACAAAGATGGTCTTATGTTATTATATTTCACCAATCATGTATTAAAAAGCTTTTTAAAATATGATACATCAGGGCAAAAACTGTACCAGTCAACTAAATAGAGCCAAAATTAATATACCCCAGTAATGGTCTTGAAATAGTACTGATGCAATGTTTTGATTTTGTACATGTGTGTAGCAAAATCGCGTTGAGAGAATGATCATTACTTACTTCCACCTGATTTATTTCCACTATTTAGTTTGACCTGCAACTAAATTTTATACTTTCTGTTTTATCTTTACCTGGACCTGTTTTATGAGTGTCTATGGGCCTGCGATAATCACTAACGTAAGGAAAATATGAAACTTCGGCCTGACCTGTCGCGTCACTTCCTTTTGAAACATCGCAGTTTCTCACAAAGTCATGTGTCATCGAGTGACTTCATGGACATTTTCTTATCTCCCCCAGTTATTCATAAGATTGAAATGTTATCGCAAAAGTAAACTCAAGACACACGTTAGATCAAAAGAAATACCCACGTTGCCAGTCTGTTTATTAGTGGTCTGGGCCTTACTTTATCAAAATTGACCATCATCAAAAGTATATACTGTAAAATACTTTATTTTAGCTGGAATTAATTTTCGCTGAAAATGCATTTTTAATAGGTGTTTCGTATGGAATTTAGTTTCACAGATTTTTGATGATTTGAATGTGAAATAAAGGAAAAAAGTTGTATTTGCTGGATATTATTTTCACTGAATCATCCCTTCAGCGAAAATAAATTCCAAGCGGAAATAAAGTATTTTACAGTAGTACATTATTAAGTATGGACAAATTTTAGATATTTTATTGTTTTAACGATCAAGTTTGTGACTAAGAAAATCAAAGTTTATCATCTAGAGAATAACAATGATAATTTCATGGATCATTTCGTTCGAGTTTAATTAATCTGGAATTAACACCAAAACTACAGCTCCGACTCTCCCACAACGCACTTTTTATGAACATTATCTATTTATTTAGCTCTACGTGACATAATAGTAAACAATCCGTAATATAAAATCGCACAGACTTTTTACAGGATTATAACCCAATGTCAACAACAACTTGAATGAACTTGGTATTTGTTCAACACAGGGACACAGATGATCACCACGTAGATGCTCGATAGTTCTGGAATTTTGTCAACAAAACCAGGACATTACATGTAGGGAAATAACCTTCACAACCATGCAGAAATTAGTACCAATCGAAACTGTCACAATTACGACATAAATAACTTGAACAGGCGTCCGAACCAGTCCGCCATTTTGCTCCAATTTGGAGTATAGTCTCTCACCTTTCTTTTGGAAGCTTGCTCGTTTACTCGATAAAGATCGTTGCTTACATCCAATGGTTCTGATATTGATTTCAAGAAAACAGGGAATATTGCTCACGTAAACAATATCAATGGCGTCCAGTGTAAAATGTATTTTCAATGCATTCTTCCAGAGAGAGGTCGACGATACTACGAAAGATTCTATTTATAGACTTGGGGATTTCCAAAATGGGCGGTGCTTTCCTGGTATGGAAACGCATGAGTTAGCGTTTGGTTGGTGAATTTGTGCCACATGTCTATCACGTGATACACTTATGATTGACGTATCACTTCTGGGTTTTCATTTACAGCAGTTCAATGGTCAACAGCTCCGTGCAGAGGCAACGTAGAGAATTATTCTAGAGATCCCTAAAACAACATTCGCGAACACGCAACTACAAATAAAAGGTACCCCGGAAAGGTGCAATACATAGTCGCCAGTATGTGACATATTGAAATGAATTTATCATTGGTTAAATTCATAACAAATAACGATTCTGACAGAATACTAGCATACGTTTTGGTGATTCACCGTTCATACTAATAAAGAAAAACGAGAACTGTTGTATACTAGAATATCACTATTCGATGTCAGGAAAATTGAAACTTTTTTTTTCGAAAATAAACAATACAAAGAATAAATAGCGTAACCGCCCACGTTATGCGATTTGGTTATTTTTGGTTATCTAACCATATCTAATATTCACCGGGGAATTTTGTCAGAAACACTGAAAAACCCCGGCCAGGTGAGGGTGTTGTTTTTCATGACGTAATCGCAATATGAACACTTGCTCCACGCATCCATGATCTCAGGGATACGTCTACACGTACACGAAAAGAGATTTTAATTTGCAGTCAACAGGACACGTGTTTAGAGATAATATTTAAAGCCTTTGATTGAAAGTTGGATACCAAACTTTAAAATTTTTATATAGTTTATACTAGTATATCAATGATATTATCATACTCGATATGCAAATCACAGTAATAAAGTATTTCTTGCATTTGTCACACGTAAATGTGATTTTCTACTGTTTCCTATACGATTCTTTGGATTCAAACAACTAATACATCTGTTTGTCCTTCACTCTGTCTTTACTATCAACTAATATCTAATATCTTCTTCGTCTTGGCGTGGAGTTGTGCAGGTCCCTGGTCTTGGTGACTTACACCCGGAGCCATTGATCGGTCATGCATCAAGCGGTTTCTTTCAAATATAATGAACAAGCAAGACATATATGCCAAAATAAATAACATTGGTCTAATTTCTGGTTATTGTCTCTCTATAAATCATGAGTACGCGCGTGGATAATGTGAATCGTCTTTTACCTAAAAAGAAGGATACATTTTGAGGATGGCCGGCGAGGGCGTAAACACATGCAATTTAAAGCTGGAGGGTCGTCACCTGCGCACGCGCGGGAATTGAGTCCCAAGCGACAATAACAACACACGTTAAAAACGTAAAGGCTCATGGGTAGACACTTGTTTGTAAACAATAGCACGCTATGGTCATCTGAATCAAATTTTTACACTTTTGGGAAAACAGGATTTGCTAGTCTGCAGTGGGTCACAGTGACTTCCATCTCGACATGACAAATATTTTGCATCCAGTAGTCAATGCTGAACATTTTAGAATAAAGTCAAATGTAATAACTTTCATATCCCACAAATGTCAGTCAGGCTGAAAACATGGCATTCTGAGATAATATATATTTATTAAATAAAGCTTATGAACAGAATATTACAACAATAATAACAAAATCTGTCCAGAAGTGTGTGTGTATAGTATTATTGTATTGTATGTGTGTTTATTAAATATTTGTTATTATTTATTAACAACTCAACACTAAATAAAGTAATCTAATAATGAAGTAAACAAAATCAATCTGGCAGTGATCCATCAACATCAAAACAATCAGTCTTGTGATTTCTAAAAATACATCATGATTTTTACCAAAATGCCAAATATTCATTAAAATTAGAAAAAGAAATGATTGAATAATAACACAGCATTTGTGTAAGCGATCTTCAAGTCGAAAATAGCACTTTTTTACCCCAAATATTTATTAGATATTTACTAGATATTAGGGAATGGAAGTTATCGTCACAGAATGTATAAATTTGACATTGATCCACCTAAGTTAATATAGAAGCAATCAGTCTGGCAATCATTCTTTTTCACCAAAATATTCACTGAAATTAGAGAATTAAAATTATCGTCATGAAATATCGAAGCAATTGGGCTTGCTTTTTCCAATAAGAAGATGAAAATGCAAAAAAATATTCTTTAAAATTAGAGAATTAAAGGGCAGTGGTGATCGTGCCATGCATGCACGAGACATGGGTGTCATATAAACAAAGATGGCAATTATGACTGTTGCGCACACCAACGAGTAAAAACCGACAGGTTACCAAGCTTCAATTTGGTATTTTTTGGCGATTTTAAAGAATCGAAGGAGTCGTCGGTGGTGATAAGTGCAAGTGGCACCCAGGGCATTATAAAATCGCATTGGATTGTGGGTAAATCAATGTTTATCAAGACAAATGTCGCACATGATTGGCGCGACGATTACCACTTTAAAATACCGTCATGAAATGAACAAATCTGACATAATTTCACTCAAGATATTTGACATTTTTTTTTGAAGTTGACTCTGATAAACAATAAAGAACAATATGATATGAATAACTCCACACTGTCGACTTTGAAGCTAAAACACGCAGAAGTGAAGAAGTCAAGTTTATGCTTTCATAAAGTACAAAATAGTCAACTATATGTGTATACATACTGCAAACTTTTCTTGACCCACTGTACCCAGATACTAGCATTTATTACATAACCTGTAAATATATCTTTCAAAAAGTGTTTTGTGAATATTTCATCTGATCTGATTAAAAAATTAACATATTTAGTAAAATCTGGACCAAAAGCTGAATGTACCAGTAGATATGATAATAGTCAAAATCAGCCTCAAATGAAGAAATAAAACCATTATATAATGGATAAAAAATTACAAAACCTGTATTGACTGTCACATACTCAAATGATAGACTTTAAGGATGTAGTAGACATAACAGTCACTATTTTATACATTTTTTGTTTATTGTCTATTTTGGTGGCATTTGTCTATCTGCATGCAATGGATGTGTTTCCCACTCAAAATAGTAACCAGTACATCCAAAAAAGACATTTTTAACAAAAAAGTTAGGATATGTGTTTATAACAGCAGACCGCTCACTTTGATTTCAGAATAATCGGCTT